ATTTACTGTTCCTTCTAGCCAACACCTGAAGATAGGGCCCCTGTCTCCCAGCCTCTGTGGGAGAGGAGGAGCTTAACTTGGATAAGCGCCAGTTAGCAAACCCAGATGGGTGTCACAGGGAGCAACACCCCCTTCTCGCATTTTTGTAATTTTTCACTTCCCTGCCTCTACTGAGCCAAGCCTCCCTACTCCCATTCCCTCATTCTCCCTTTAAAATTCCCAGGCACCTCCATATAAATGGACGTTGTGTTGAGTTCACACTGGCCTCTTTTTCCTATTACAGTAGTATATTACTGATTAAAATCTGTCATGACCACTTTAACTAGTGTCTGGCTTTGTTGATCTTTGACAGTGTGTATTTGGTTATACTTGTGCGCACACGTGCTGATAAAGTAAAGAAGAGAAAACAGGAAAAGGCATTGTTTAACCCAGGGGTCAGTAAACTGTTTCTGTAAAGGGCCAGATAGTTAATATTTCAGCCTTTGCAGGCCTTCTAAGGTCTCTGTAGCATCTCCTCAGCTGTGCTGTTGTAGAGCAAATGCAGCCATAGACAATACTCAAATGCATGAGCATAGCTGTGTTCCAATAAAACTTCATTTATGGACACTGACATTTTAATTCCATATTATTCTTCTTTTGATTTTTTTGAACCATTTAAAAGTTAAAAAATAAAATAAAATCTTTCTTAGCTCATAGGCTATACCAAAACAGTCAGCCAGCCAGACTTGGCCCATAGGCCGTAGTTTACCAATCCCTGGTTTACCCTAATCATAATTTTCTTTCCTTACTACAATAAGGTTTCAAAGTTCAAGATCATTTGATGGAAAGCAAACTCAAAAAATGCCCTCAATTTTTCTCATTGAGCCAAGTATGAAATCAGTGACGTTAAGTCCACTCCTTAAAGATAAATTTCTAGTTCACCAATAATGTATATTCTCTCACAACTAAACTTCCATGGCAAACTCCAAATGAATAATGAACAGTGTGTGTGTGTGTATGGACAGAGAGAATGAACAGGTCCATAAGCAGAAAGTGAGAATTTCCAGGGCATGCTTTTAAATTACAAGTAAGTTTCACTGAAGCTGACAATCTATATCAAATTCTGATAGCAAGAAGGTGAAATTCACTTGCCCCAAAGAGAGAGAGAGAGAAAGAGATGCCTGAACCGGTGCCTCGCCTGAAGTAGACATCTGCCTACAGAACCGCTATCGACTAGACTTTCACAGCTGCAAACTAGCAACCCCTGGGAAACTAGAGTTAAATATTCCTAAAACAGGAATCTAGTTCTGTTATGAAACTGTTCATCATTTCACCTCCTGACAGCCACGAAAATCAGCAGAACTCAGAAAGGACTCAGACGATGAGCAAGTAGCATTTTTAATAAAATTCAAATCCAGAGTCTTTGGGAGTTTTTCACTGCTGGCCTCCACAGCTCACTATTATCAGCAACATTCATGCAATTACTCAGGTCAACAAAGAGATGGGAAAAATCTGACCTCTTGCATTGCTTCTTTAACTTCCCTTTTTCCCCAGGAAATGTTTAATTCCGAACAAGGTAAAGGTAAAAAATAGAAGTTTAGTAACCTCTAAATAGGTTTTGCATAAAAACCTGAAGAAACTACAAATACAGATTTTTTGATTCTTCCTCAAATGCATGACATTTGTAACAAAATTAGCGCACTTTATTATTACAAATATTAATCACTGCTATGTGCCACAAAATAACCCATGAAACTATGAGACAATGTAAAATAAAGCAGCCCCCAAATTTACCTCCCAGTATGAGAAATACTCTTCATATTAATAATTGGGACCCAATCATTATCTCAAAGTGTGCTATTTTGCTTAAAGAATAGAAGTGAAGTCAGTCTATTCAATCCATGAACATATCGCTCAGTTTAATAACACCCCTATGAGTTTTGGGTTTCAAATCACTTCCCTCGGGTGAAGGGGGCATAATCATATGTTTTCCTACTGAACTGCATTTTTCTATAAACACTTCAAAGAGTGCATCTGCTTTACAAATGAAACAGTCGATACAAAGAACAGTAACAATAAAAATATACGCCTATTTTTATACTATTCCTGGTTTATAAGGCAATCATCTGTAATGCTCTCATCTACAAGGATGGAAAGTGATATATAACTGTTACCAAGGAAACAGTGAAATAAAATTGCATGTAAACTATCAAGCAGTTTAATAACCAGAAAATTAGAAGAGCAAGAAAAAAATCTCCAGATAGAAACATGACACATTGTGCCACCCATGATGGACGCAACCAAGGGTCACAATTCAAAAAAGAAGATGTAAAGGGTCAAAACTTGCCAGCTATGCCAATGCTTGGCAGTATTTTTTTTTCAGTGATGTGCATAAGACAGCACTGGGTTCTTGAGGGGCAATCAGAATTCTTATTCTTCACATGATTAAAAGGGCATGGATTCCGGCAACAAGTAGTTAAATGTAGGTACTCTGAAAAGTCAAAATGTGCTGTTTATTAAGTCCAGTGTGGATTAGTATTCTCTTGTAATTCTCTGTAATTACCACTCTCTCTACTCACAGATAGGACATTTAGAAAATATCAGGTATGCTTTCTACAGCAAATGCTTTCTGAATTAACATTGAGAAACTCAAGTTCTTGGGAACCAAAGACAAGCCTAAGGCCGGGGGTAACTATGTGTGTTCATCTCTAAACCAAGAGAATTTTAAGCACTCAAGAAACCACGTTGATCAAAGCTAAATCCTTTAGGAAGATTATCCACTCTGAAATCAGGAAAATCCTGCAGTGTAAGCACTTTTATATTTCACCTTTGAGAAAAGAACTTGATTTCTGTAACAGTGTTTAAAACACACACACAGGACTTTATTCCTTCAAGGGCAGAAACAAGCAGCTGCAAACACATGTTTCTGCATGCTGATGACCCTCTACAGGTACTTCTATTTCAGCTTGGGGACCATCACCGAGCTCACGCTGAGAAACGAGTAGATTGCCTATGGATGGAAGCTTTCTTAATCGGCACATAAGCTCAGAACATGTGCAGCTTCTCTCTTTAGAATAAACACTCTATTTGGATCACGTTAAGGATAGAAAGTGAAATTCACACTCATTTACTAAATTTTAACCTCTTTTTAAAATAAGATACTAATCCCCCACAGCCTGGCTTGGGTTTTGCAAAAACTCAGATTTGTGAATATCATGAAGACACTCTAGAATTTAGTAAAACGAGTATAAAACATCTTTTCACTGACACACAGCACTGTCCTCTCCCAAGCTCCAAAGTTTAAGAACTAAATCTAGGCTCTAGATGTTTCATTAATCTTATTGTTTAGCATTCGAGGCCACTGAAATCTATCTTGGTTATTTTAAACTACACTACTGGTTGAACTTCTTTCCCTTTGGCCATCTCACTGTCCATCACACATATGGCATCAGGCAATCGCTAAACTGTTGCTCACAGTCACTTCCCATCCACGGGCCACGATTTGACAGCTGCTGATAAACCAGCCACAGGCAGAAGCATGTAGGAAGTCAAGAGAATAGAGGTGTGAAGCCATGGCCCTCTGTGATATCGGCGTGAAACCAAACAAGTTGCCACACTATAATCATCCACTGCTTGACATATGTCTTCTGAAGTGCCAGGTAACGCCTCTTCTCCGTGACAGACATATTTATCCCTCAACTGTATACCTCATGTCTACCCCAACTAAGTTACACTGGAGCCCTTTCCCTGGGCAATTGGCTTGTGACATTAAGACCGACCCACGTAAGTAGAGAGGGAAGGTGGAGATGGCAAGAAGAACAAATAAAGACCTGTGGATGTTGCAAAGAGGCACATCTGAATGGCCACATCCAAAGTGACTGCTTCTGAAATGTCTCAAATGTAATTCAGCAAAACAAAGTCAATATACATTCCTGACTCGGGCTATCTGAGGCTGCTCATTCTTGCCTGATGCAATCATGCCCCACTGTGACACTAAGGAATGAAAGAAAACCTAGAATTATTCTCTCAGTCTGGAAAGCAAGTCCACACTGTGTCCTGGGAAACACCTACTGTCTACCTCCCAAGGTCCTGGTGGTAAGTGCTGTAAAGAGCTCCTGGGGCAGAAGGCCAGTCCTTCCAGAGATTTGGGCAGAGAAGATGGGGCAAGATTTCCTAAGACTTCTTATACCAGGCTCTTCCCAGTAATGCCACACTGCAAGAAGCACAGACCTACTTTCTGGGTTCGATGAAGACTATGGAAAGGGAAGCAGGGCAGAAGATATAGGACGAATGCTCTGTCCAGGTAATACCTAGGTGGCCAAAAAGTGGAAATGTTCTTCCTCTATCAGCACTGCTCCAGAAAGCTGCCTGAATTGGTGACTTTTCTTCTGCTTCAACAACATGGCCACTTGGAAGCAAATTTCTAAATCTTTCAAGGCTTAGGACTACATAGTTACCCAAAGAAAGGCTAAAGGTCTTTCTGTTCTGTCTCCATGACTTCAGCATCTAGGTCACTGCTGGGAACACCTGACCGGTTACCTGGGTCAACCTACAAGCTAAGTTTTCCAGGGTGTGGAGGTCTAATGCAAGGGGACGCGGGGTAGCGGGGAACCGACACTTTTGCTCACTACTACTTGGAAAGCAGGTAGCCAAGCTCTAAGCACTTCTGCCTTTGCCTAGCAGTAACAATTACAACCATCTTCTCTTAGTCCTGAATTATACATGTGACCCCAAGTACCACTGGGGCTTTTCCTAAGGGAAAACAAACTGTCGTGAACATTGGCGTGTGCGTGAGGGCGTGTGTATCTGTGTGTGTGTGGTCTACACCCGTGGATACAGAAGCTCCACCAGCCAGTGAGAAATAAGTTGAATGCAGCAGCCCCTGGCCGCCTCGTTGCAGTCCTATCTTAAGCCCCGCTGCTCTCTCTAGCTTTTACTTCTCCCCCAGCCTCCCGAAAAATAAAGCACCAAGTTGCCCGCGGCGGTGGCCCTGGGTGCAAATGAACCGGCGCAGCCCCTACCTCGAGAGCTTTGCAATCTTCACAAAGCTGAAGACATCCATGCAGGCAGCTGGGGACCCCGAGCGCGGTGGCTCCGTTGCCCCTTCTCAAGCCAGCAACTGCAGCCTAGACAGCCCCATGGCCGGCCAGGACCTCAGCGCACCCCAGGGCTTGAGTGGCGGCGGCGGCGAGTGGCGGCGGCGGCTCGGGAGAGCCCGCACCTGGCGGCGGTGACTGCTACCCCCCTCCGGCCGTGAGCTGCGTGTGCATCCCCGAGCAGGACCATTGATGGGCGCCGGTGTGGGGAAAACTCAATGGAGAGGGGGCCGGGCAGGGTGCAGGGGCGGGGGCGGGGAGCGAAGCCCCGGTTGTTCGCTCCGCCCCGTGCACCCGCCCGGGGGAATGCCGGGCGCCCTGGGCAGTGAGGCCCGGGCGAGGGGCGCTGCTCTGCTCCTGCTCCCCGGCCAGCCGGCCCGGCTGCCCCGTGTGCCGAGGAGCGCAGACTGAGCCGGGAGGCGGCGGGCGAGCCTGGCACACTCGCACGCACCCCTCCCGGCACTGCAGCTGCCTCTCTGCCTCCTTCCCCAAGCCCAGTCCTTTCTCCTCTCCCCACCCCCACCCGCGAGGGTGGGGGGGCTCTCGTGTCACCCGCTGCCTGTTCCTCCAGATCTAAAAGATCTGATCTAACAGTATTGGGCACACGGGGACCGTGAACACTACCCCCTCCCTCCGCAAACCTAAGGAGAGCTGTGCAACCGCAGGTTGCCCAAAGCCTTGGTTTGTTCCATAAACAAAACTAGCAACCGGGAAGGAGCAAGGATGATCGAGGCTGGATCGTTTGTCAAGGGGAAGGGGAGGGAGATGCCCAATGCAGCTGGCTGGATTTGGAGAGTGCAGGGTTCCCTCTGCTTCCCCTGAACCGCTGGAGAGAGACTAGACAGCCGGGTTAGCTGGGAAGGTGTGTCTTTGGACAGCAGCACCAGGGGAGCCTCAGAGAAATAAGAAAATAAGAACAGGAGGCTTGGGGGGGGAGGGAGGGGACACAGCTGCTTCTTACTAGAGGGGCATAGAGATGAGGGTCCAGGAGCCAGTGGCGCGGAGACTAATTTGAATGAGGTTCAGAATCTAAAGGAAGAGAAGGGAGGAGAAGGAGGGTCTGGCAGGCAGAGCGAGAAGGGAAGGAAACAAAAAACGAAAAACAAAAAACCTTACTCAAAAAACAAAACGACGAAAACATAAACACTCACCTTAGGCAGAGTAAACTCCAAGTTGCAGCCATTTAGAACTCTTAGCCTTCTCTTTTACATAATTATCTGGGATAATCACCCCTCTTCATTAACTCAATTCTATCTCCCCGGAGGCTCAGGCTTCTTCGGGTCCCTTTTTCTTGTTCTTTCTCTTGGAGTCTCAAGGCCTCTTCTCCAAAATCCTTTAAATTTTCTCCCCAGACTCTGTGAAGGTCAGCTGGCTGCACAAAGTGTGTGTTCTCCCACCCAGAAGCATTCACCTGAAGGCAGGGCCACCGCAAAGAAAAGATGCCACCCCCGAAATGTTGGAGGATCTGACCAGCGCGCTTCCAGCTCTCCAAGGGGATTAGGGAAAAGGAAATAGGTTTAAAGTTCCCAGACTTCTGCTCCTATCCTGGTCTGTTGCTGTATTTAAAGTCTTCAGTATTCAAGCCTAGTACTTCCACTTTTTTTTAAAGGCATTTCTTTCAAAAATTAAACATAAAATCAGTAGCAATCTGAAAAATGTAAATGATTTGAAACAGGCACAAAATTACATTATCTAAAACATAAATAGAATCAATTTTCCTTGAGCTTCTTACAGACAGACGAGTTTAATTTCATGAACAGGGTTACTACTCCTGGATCAGAGAAGGCAAGAGGGACCTTGGCTGTTGAACCTCCCTCCCATTGTTTGTGTAAAATACTTAGAGCCCGGGTCTGCACTGTGCTGGATGATTTTTAAAGCACATTTGCATCTGAGTCTCATAGCAACCCTGTCATATAAGTAAGTCAACATGTTTTAAAAAGAGAAATCTTTTCTTTTTTATGCCACAATGTATTCTCAACGTACTAGACAAAGAGATGTGTTGTAAACGTAGGTCAGATAAGTTTACTTGTCTGACCCAAACTGCGCAAAAGCTCTCCATTCGCCTTCAAGCTAAAGTTGTACTCCTACAATGACCAACAAAGCCCTAGATGTTTGCCTTTGATCTCTCTGACCTCATCTCTTACTCTCCACCTCCCTCTCCCTCTCCCCTGGCCACCACCCCTACACGTAAGGGGCCCCAGCAACACTGGCCTCCTTGCTTTTCTTCAAACTCTGAAGATATCCTCCCACTTTGGGCTCTTTGCAATGGCTGTTCCTTCAGCCTGGAATGCTCTTCCCTCGGATATTTGCATGGCCAGCTCCTTCACCCCATCCAGTCTTTGCACAAATATCACTTCCAAAAAGCTACTTCTGAAAAGCCTATTTAAAATTGCAAGGCCCCCACACCCTGGACTCCGAGGCCCCATGAACTGTTTTTTTTTCCCTTGTTTCCATAGTGCTTATCACCCACTAGTACATTACATAATTTATTTTTATGTCTATTATTTGTTGTTTCTTATCTGATTCTCCTGCTAGAATAAAAGCTCCACAAGGGCAGGGATCTTTATTGTTTGTTTTTCGGGTGTTTTTCACTGATGGGTCCCAAATGCCTAGAACAGTTCCCTGGATGTAGGAGGACCTTAATAAATATTTGTTGAATGAATAAATTTTATGCTCATTAGATTCACAGCCAAACCAACACTGGCCAAGCATCCCCAGTGGGTACTGCTCTCTGACCTCATTGCTGATGTGTTTCTACCTCCCCACCACTCCTCCATCCCCAGCATCCTTCATCCTCCTTTGGATTGCTAATGATGGCAATGAAGGCCCTCTCATATTCTCCAGTTATTTCCCCCTTCGCCCTTTCTACCTTTCCCGAAGAGAGTGGCCACCAACACTTTCCCTCATCTCTGAGTCAACATCTGGCAGCGCAAGAGCAGCTCTTGATTGGGAAAGGGAAATAAAGCAATGCCTTTGGAGAATGTGTTTTGAAAAAGTGCTTGCTTCGGAGAACAGAATAGTCAGGATGCCCTTAAAAAGATAACCCTATTAATCAAGAATTATTCCAGATAGCAAATAGCTAGTTACTCAACAGTGAAAGTGACGGGAAATAGGCACTATGTTTACTTGTAGAGAGACAGTCTCCCTTCAAGACACCTGGTCTACCTGGAACAGCTTGCTGTTGGGCTTCAATCTGTGCCAATCTGTGCACTCCAGTTATGAATGGTGCAGATGCCCACACTCCACAGCCTACCAGACACCAAGGGAAACAACTCACTTCTCCAGGTCTTTATACTCCTCTGATATATTGATTATCCAGTATGTTCTCTAATGTTGATGTCTTTTTCTAAAGCCAAGAGATTCTCCCCCTCCTCCTTTGTTTTTCATTAAGGCAAAAATGGAAGAATCTGCTCCCTTGAAACATGCTAACACAGCCAGTTTAGCCTTTTAAGCCCTCTTGGCAGAGGCAAAGATTTGAGTAGCTGGTCTCTCACTCTGTTCCCTCTCTGTGCCAGGTGTGTGCGGCAGAGGTTGGGATCGGTTTGTCTAGCATGAAATAGATCTGCCTAAAACAAGCAAAAACCAATGAGTGGCATTTGAGTACATATGTGATTTTCTGAAGTTTTATCTTCAACCTGGCTAATCTCTAAGGCCCCTTCTAGATCTTGTAGAGATTTCCTCATTGGAAACTGTATTACCCAGCCTTAAGAATATATTTCATTTGCTTTACTTGGATCCAAGTGACGTTTAGTCATTTCTGAAAATCAAACACACTTGCAAACACTATTGAATGTATTCATGAATAAGAGACTCAAAAAAATAAGATCCAGAGCAAGTCATTTAACTTCTCTGAGACTCACTTTCCCCACCTGTAAAATGGAAATGATAATACATCCCTCCCTTACCTAGAACGAGCCCTTGAAGTTGGACACCAATTCAGAGCGGTGTACACGCGGATTGAGGCACATGGATATTAACTCCAAAAGGATTTCCACTCTTGAGCTTTGGGCAGTACTCTTAGGAAAAGTTTCAGCTTCCATGATCACTACTTTGAAGGTGAAAACATTTGCTTTGATTGATCAGAGATGAGTGTTTTGCCTAAAAATCAATCTCATCGTTGCCTGGTCAGTCACCAAAGCCCTGAGCAGTAGTATCTTCTATGCTCTGGGGGCTTCTCAGGGGAAAGAGGGAGGCATTTCCCCATCACTGTTAAGGCCTTATCTCAAGCTGGTGTCAGGGATCTGCTGTTGGGCCAGATGTTTCATACAGAATGGCAGCTGAGGGTTCTTTTGCTACAAATTATAGTAGAGAGAGCTCCATGCATTTCTCAGTTGGACTGTAGCATCTTGACCATCTGGTCACGGTCTTGAAAACAGAAGTGAGTAAATAAAAGTAAGGTACCCATTACTTCAACAAATATTTAAGAAATGTCTCCTATGAACCAGGCACTGTTCTAGGCACTGGGGAATACATCAGGCAACAAGACAAGTTTCTGCTGTCATAGACTTTACATTTTAATAAGGAAGATAGATGATAAACAACAAAATAAGAAAATAACATAAGAAAAATAGCAGTTGGTCATGTGCAGAGAATCAAGATCACTCTGATTGAAAGGGAGTGACTAGGTGTCTATGTAGGAACCAGTGGTCAAGGGAGACCTTTCTAAGGAGATGACATTTAAATGGAGGCTGCCACTCAACATTCACGTGGAAGAGCATTCCACACAGAAGGACCAGCAAGGACAAATAAGAATGCAGTCCTTGAGTCAGGAACAGCTATTGTATGTTTGAAGAATCAGAAGGCGGCCACTGTGTGAGGGGTATTGTGTTAAATGGAGTGGGAGTGGGAGAATTTACAGGGGTAGGCAGGGGCACGATCTAGCGGGGCACAGTAGGCCACGGTAAGCCACCTGCTTTTTATCGTGGGATGGGAATCCATAGGAAGGTTTTTAGCATGCATGTGGCAAAATTGGATTTATATTTTGAATGACTGTTCTTGAGGGAAGTGAGCATGGGGGCAGGGAGACAATTCAGGAGTCTGTTGCAATAATCCAGGAGGAGACAGCAGTGGCTCAGAAAGGAACATGACAAGGATGTGGTGAAAAGTAGCCACGCCCCGGATACATTTTGAACAGGATCTGTTGATGGATCGGATGTGGGAGGTAAGGAAAGAGAGGAGTCAAGGACGACTCACTAATTCATGTTATTTAAAAAAATGCCCTGATTCCCTTCATCAGGTATTGAACATATAAAAACCAGAAGGGTTTTCCCTGCCTCTGCGCTCATGCATTCTGTTCCTCTCAATGAACTCTCATGCTCTGGAGGCCCACCTGCTGATGTGTGATCCTCACCTCTCTTGCATGCTCTAGACGCTCACTGGAGCACTTACGGTCTCTTTCTCCTACATCAGTGTTTTTTCCTGAACTACTGAATCATTCCTATGTGCATTCAAACATGCTGCTCTTTATCCCACCTTTAAAAAAAATCTCTTAACCCCTACCCCCATCTCCCTTCAGCTAAGTCCCATTCTTC